CAACTCAATTTACAACATTTCTTCGAAGAGAAGACAGGCTTTAGGCGAGCTGATTTGCCCTGTTGGCACGCACACAGCTGGATATCTCATAGACTGGAAGACTTGATGATGTGTCTATCTCTACTGCCATCTGTGGATTTTAAGGACGCATATTTAATTGGATTTTTGATAACTGGTTCCCGCTTTTTGGATTCGGCTAGTTGCTGGTTTTATCTACAATCAAGGAAGTTGTTGGCAGCAAATTTGGACCCTATCACCCTGCTTGCCTTTATGATGGCTTGGTTCGTGTCTCGAGTACCCGGACTAAAATGCTTTGGGCTGAATGGATCGGATCTTGGGGATTTTACTCAGTCACGTTCCATTGTTGTGGCCATGTAATTTGGACATTTTGGAACTGAGTCGACCAACACAGACTCAAGGTAGATGTCATTAAGTTCTGCCTGTCCCCAAAACAACTGTCCCTCGAGAATGTTTATGGATCTCACCGAGGGACATTGGTCGACTATTACATCCTTATCAGAACTCTTACAGTGTCCTCGAGAGCATATATGAACATTGCTGACCGCTCTCATCTCCCTCGTCAGCAGAATGTCTACGTAAATGTGTTCGAGGTGTTTTTTATTTTTTATTTTAAAGTTTTATTTTTTCTCAGGCAGAAAAAAAAGTCTGACAGGAATTTTTTTGCCTCCAACTCCTACATGTGTCCAGTTAACCACTGTTTTTGTATGTCCAAACAGGTCTCACTTGTAAATGAGTCTTTGAGGCTCAATGTGATTTTTCTGTTTAAATAAAGGTTGAATGAATGAAAAAATGCTTAGACTCAGCTGATCATCGTGTTAAAGTTTGTTTTAAAATTCAATCAACACTCACCACGTGAGTGATCCATTTTAGTAAACAAAATTGTTAAACAAAATGAACTAAGATTCCTGAATTTCTGTTTACTTATTTTTACACCAAATTTCTTAGTGCATGCTTTATTTTTCTTCAACATTTAATCATTAGCCACACATTTTGTCTCCGTACCTGTACACAAAAGTAGAGGCATTAGATTATCTTATTCTCACTCAAGAACACTTTGAACAATTTATTTTGTCAATTAAGTTGACATTAGATTTGCATGCATACAGATTTATCTTTATGATTCCATTACATGAACAAAGCGCTTAGACACTTAGATGGTCACCAGGAATCACCAGATGTGTACCATCCTATGCCAACACCCTGTGGTCCAGATGAGCGCCATCCTATTGCATCATCCAGAGGGTCCCATCCTTCATCCAGATGACATCACTGCATCATCCAACTGATCCAGTCCATCATCCAGATGACATCACTGCATCTCCTGACGATCCAACCCATCATTCCAGAGAGTGACATCACCATGCCTTCCAAAGGACCCCTTGGCCTTTACATGGAATACCCTTGAGTTTCCTTCCCCTTTCTGTGGAATTATTGCTTTGAACTCAAATGGAATACCTTTTGCCTTTCCTGTTTCACGTTGTGGAATTAACCCTTTGAACGCTTGGAATTAACCCTTTTGAATACACTGGGAATAACCTAGAACATTGATTCTTTCCCTACCTGGAATTATTCCTTCTGACTTCATATGGGATAACTTTGTTTCCTTCCATGGAATTATAGACTTTGACTTTTGGGAATCTGCTATAATGTTCTTGGAACATTCCTGAGGTGTGGACGACAAGTTTTTTTCTCACAAACATTGGGCTTGAAAATCGAAAGTGGGGGAAAATGTAGGGGAACACCACCTCAGAAAAAGAACACCACCTCAGAAACAGTTCATCTCAGCTCAAACAGAAAAACAGTTCATCTCATCTCAAACAAACATCATTTGTGTGTTTTTGTTAGGGATGAACTGATCCACTTTTTTTTTTTACTTCTGATCCGATCCCGATACCTAAATCTAAATATCGTCCGAAAACCGATCCAGTTCCGATATCATGATCATCATTGATTTTATATGAGGTTGTAATAATCTCCTCTCAGGTACAATTTGTACAAATATATGCATGCATGCATGTCCAAAAAGGCAACTTGAGGTAAGTTTTATTAATGTTGGATGTTTTAAAGTTAGAATTAAATCCTGCTAACACAAAACATGTTTCTTTTTATTCCTAGTTTTAAAGTGGATATTAAAGTGATTAATTTTAAGTGATTGTTTAAAGTTATTTTATATTTTTTTAAATAAGGGGCAGATATAATAATTATTTTTCTTCTTTCTGCACTCTTTTCATTCATTGTTTTCTTTTTGATGATTTTTTTTATTTTGTTTCTTTTAAATGAATGAATAAATGAATAAAATAAAATAAAATGCTAAATGGCTTCAAACACCTGGCATAAACCAACATGAATTTTCCTGTTTTTAGTATTTTACATCACTTTATAATGTAGCTGTTTTTGTTTTTAATATAATTTTCAAATCATATGTTTTTTATGATTGTCTACTGTTGTACTGATAAATATCTCCTGGAGGGTAAACTATATCTTGGCTGCAAGTATCAAACTGTGAAATCCTTTGTTTTCTACAACTGATAGTGGTTGGTCATTAATTATGAAGTTTAGCAACTTCTCTGTAAACATTTGAGCTCCGTGGTTTCAAGGACTCCAAAAAGGGTGGATAATCTGAACTGCCGTTTGGTGCATAAGCACAAACGACAGTCAGAACCCATCCCACCACACGTAGGCGGAGGGAGGCCACCCTCTCATTCACCAGGGTGAACCCCAACACACAGGCACCAAGATGGGAGGCAATAAGTATGCCCACTCCTGCTCGGCGCCTCTCATCAGGGGCAACTCCAGAGTGGAAGAGTGTCCAATGCCTCTCAAGGAAACTGGTTCCAGAGCCAGAGCCATGCGTAGAGGTGAGTCCGACTATTTCTAGCTGGAACCTCTCAACCTCACACACCAGCTCAGGCTCCTTCCCCACCAGTGAGGTGACATTCCACATCCCAGTAGCCAGCTTCTGTAGCCAGCTTCTGTAGCCGAGGATCAGACCGCCAGGGTCCCCGCCCTCGGCCACCACCCATCCTACATTACACCCGACCCCTTTGGCCCTACCCACAGGTGGTGAGCCCATGGGAAGGGGGACCCACATCTCCTCTTCAGGCTGTGCCCGGCCAAGCTCCATGGGTAAAAGCCTGGCCACCAGGTGCTCACCCGTATACCTCACCTCCAGGCCTGGCTCCAGAGTGGGGCCCGGTAACCCACGTCCGTGTGAGGGAACATTAAGTCCATTTCTTTTTCTCATTGGTCCAAGCACTGAGCCCTGAGGAACACCATGACTAACTTTGTTGTATGACGAAGATTTATTATTTACATTTACAAACTGGAAACTATCAGATAGATACGAATTAAATTATTTTAGAGCTGTTTCTGTAATCCCAATATCATATTCAATCCTCTGTACTAAAATATTGTGATCATCTGTATCAAATACAGCACTGAGGTCTAACAGGACCAGTATAGACACAAGTCCATTGTCTGAGGCCATGAGAATATCATTAGTACTTTTACTAGTGCTGTTTCTGTGCTATGATGAGCTCTAAACCCTGACTGAAACTCTTCAAACAGATTATTTCTTTGTAGATGTTCACACAACTGACCTGCAACTATTTTCTCTAGAATTTTTTTAGATGAAAGTTAGGTTAGATATAGGTCTATAGTTGGCCAGACTTTCTGAATCAAGGTCAGACTTCTTAAGTAAAGGTTTAATTACAGCAATCTTAGAGCGCTGTGTTATGTAACCATTCATCCATCCATCCATCCATTATATTTACCCACTTATTCCATTTTGGGTCACGGGGGTCACCAGTGCCCATGTCCAACAATCACTGTGCGAAGGGCAGGGTACACCCTGGACGAATCGCAAGTCCATCACAGGGCCACATAGAGACAAACGAGACAAACAACCATTCACTCTCTCACTCATACCTAGGGACAATTTAGAGTTACCAATCAGCCTAACATGCATGTTTTTGGTCTGTGGGAGGAAACCGGAGCACCCGGAGAAAACCCACGCATGCATGGAGAGAACATGCAAACTCCACCCAGAAAGGCCCCTGGACCGGGGTTTGAACCAAGGACCTGCTCACTGAGAGGCAGCAGCTCTACTAGTTGCGCAACCGTGCTGCCCACGTAACCATTCATTAAAGACAAATTAAGTAGATCCAAAATGTGAACATTAATTAGGGAGATACCTCTTTAAACAGTCTGGTTGGGATGAAATCTAGCAGACATGTGGATGGTTTGGATGAGGCTTTTATTTTTGACAATTCAGAGAGCTCAACAGGATAAAAACTGTCCAAACACAAATCAGACTCTAGTGAAAATTTTAACGTTCTCATTTGACAGGTGACTAGAGATAGTAGAAGGAAGGATGGTTTGAATTTTCTCTCTAATTGAAATGATTTTATTTATAAAGAATCTCATGAAGTCATCACTACTTATAGTTGTAGGGATACATGGTTCAACAGAAATGGAACTTTGAATTAGTCTAGCAATAGTACTAAACAGAAACTTGGGGGTTATTTTTATTCTCATCTATTAAAGATGACTAATATAAAGTTCTAGATTTACAGAGAGCTTTCTTATATGTTAGCAGACTATCTTTCCAAGTTTTATAAAATTATTCAACGTTAGTGGAGCACCATTCTCTCTCCTGGTTTCTAGATGCCTGCTTTAAAGTACGTAACTCAGAATTGAACCAAAGATCCAATGTCCTCTGACTAATTAGTTTCTTTTTCGGCTGAGCAATTTTGTCAGGTGAAGTTTGCATTGAAGTTGTAAAATGATCAACGAGATGATCAAAGCTTAGTGTAAAGGCCGGAAATCCAAAATCACACTAAATGTTTGTTAATTAGAAAATAATGAATGCTTTAATTTATTTATCATCATTATTATTATAATTAACTTTTTTATGCCCTATTCTTTCTGTCAAGTGTTGTTCTGCCTGATCCTAATCTGTTGCATTCTCCTCTTTCCAGCTGAGTGAGGTGGAAGTGAACGGGCAAATTGAGCAGGTATGCGAGCAAGTCTACAATGCGTTGAAGTCTCAAGCTATAGACTCTGCAATGGACAGTTTGGAGACCATGGACACACTGCCTATGCCAGGATGCTTCCGTATGAGAAGTCACAGTTATGTGAGGGCGATAGATCAGGGATGCGCTGGGGAGGAGGAAGGAGAAGGGGGGAGACCACTACTGCTGTTACCATCCTCACCACCACGCACATCTGCAACGACTGTCAGGACCATACAGAGCAGCACAGGTAAGGGAGAAACATACCTCTGAATATCCTGATGCATGCTCAATAATCCAGGTAGAAAAATCTAAAAAATTAAATCTGGTCCTCTGGACATTCAAAAAAAAATCTGTGTCATCTGTGCTGGGCCATCAGTAATATTGTGTATGCTGTTCAGTGTCAGGAGGGCTGTGATCAGTCTTACATTGGGGAAACTAAACAGCCACTGGCCAAAAGGATGGACCAGCACAGAAGATCAACATCATCAGGACAGGACTCTGCAGTTTACACTCATCTCCAGGCCAGCGGTCACTCTTTCAAGGATGAAGATGTTCACATCCTGGACAGAGAGGAACGATGGTTTGAGAGAGGAGTAAAGGAGGCCATCTTTGTGAAAAGAAATTGTCCATCATTAAACAGGGGTGGAGGCCTCCGGGTTCAACTGTCCCCATCTTACAATGCTGTTATTGCTAGTATCACTCAACCCCCTGTAAATAGTAAACAGCCATCAGTGTGCTAATGATCCATTGTTAGGCTGATGGTCCTTCTTGACCATGTGAGCAGCTGGTTTTGGTTTTCAGCAGCAAACTGGTTGATCCACTCTGAGAAGGTGCTATTTAAGAGACTGAGCTGAATACAGCACCTCAGACTAAGGAAGTCTTTCGGATGAGAGACGAAACGTTTCTACATTATTTTGCTTTGTTTTGTTTTTTGTTTTTTTCAATGTCCAGAGGACCAGAATAAACTTTTTTGGATCCCTCTGAATGTATTTCTGCATGGAACCATAACCTAAATGTTTTACACAAACACATTTTTAGGCTGGGCAGCATGGTAGCGCAACTGGTAGAGCTGCTGCCTCTCAGCGAGCAGGTCCCTGGTTCAAATCCCGGTCCGGGGGCCTTTCTGGGTGGCGTTTGCATGTTCTCTCCGTGCATGCGTGGGTTTTCTCCGGCTAATCCGGTTTCCTCCCACAGACCAAAAACATGCATATTCGGCTGACTGATAACTCTAAATTGTTCCTAGGTGTGAGTGAGAGAGTGAATGGTGGTTTGTCTATATCTGGCCCTGTGATTGACTTGTGCCCCTTGCATAGTGATTGCTGGACATGAGCACCAGTGACCCCCATGACCCAAAATGGAAGAAGCAGGTAAAACATAATGGATGGATGGATGGAACTTTTAGGCTGATAGTTGTATTATTTCGGTAAAATGTTTGCTAAGGCTCAAATCCTTCATCAAAAAACCTCGGAGTGCATTTACATATTGTAGCCTGTTCAAGGTTCAAAGTTCAATATGACTTTACTGTAATTCACATCACATGTGGTACATGAAATATAATACAGTGTAATAAACAGAAGCCTGAACATGAGTCAGTTTTGAGCAGATGGCAGATCTATATATGCACAAATATATATACTGTATATATATATATATATATATATGTATGCAGAAACTTTGCAATCACCTTCCGCTCATATCAGCATGAGTCCGGCTTCAAGTCTTACAAGTTTGGCTAAAATCCGACCTTCCAGACGGGAGTTATTGTCACTTCCTGTTTTGTCACGAATGTAAAAGGACTTCCTTTAGGCTTTTCAACATATAACTGTTGGAAGAATCTAGGGGGTGCACTTGAGTCAAATGTTAAAGAACAATACTAATGTGTCTATAAGTGTTCACTGATAACGCACAATAAATCTGTTACATATTGGATAATATTTCATTGAAAAATAACTGTTGGAAAAATGTAGGGGGCGCATTTGAGTCAAAAGTTAGCAAACAATACTAATCTGTCTAGAAGTGCTCACTAATGACACACCCAAAATCTGGTTCAGATCAGATGATATATCATTGAGATAAAACTGATAAAATAATCTAGGCGCCACCACATTATCAATGTGTTTAGACGTGCTCACTGATCAATCCCAAAAAATCTGGCTCCGATCGTATAATGTATCACTGAGATATAACTGTTGGAATAATCTAGGGGTCGCACTTGAGTCAAATGTTAAAGAACAACTCCCATATGTTTATAGGTGCTCATTGATCACACACAATAAATCTGGTTCAGTTCGGATGATATATCACTAGAGGTTGAACGAGTATATAATTTTTAAACTCGATATTAACATAATAAAACCCGAGTAGAACTCGAGTATTTGATGACATCATAGATCTCAAGATACAAAAATAAATAAATAAAACCGCAAAAAAAAAGGTAATTATTTACAAAATGTAATTATTTACAAAAAAAAGACCAACAAACATTGGGAGCATATATTATGCTCCTACCATTTATCATACTGCAAATAAGTCACAGGAAAAACTAAACTATTAGTTATTATTATTAAACTGCAAACGTGAAGAGACATGCAGCACGTCAAAAACGAAACTTAAAACAGTGTGTGTGTGGGGGTGGGGTGGGGGGGGGGGTCGACCA